CCTTAAACAAACTTTTAATACATTGTGGTAAATATGCCTTTTGAAGGAATTGGGTAGTGATAATATAAATGGAAAAAGTTTTAACTTGATTAAAACCATGTTTAATGCTATTAAATCATGCGTTAAATCAATTTTTTACTACATCAAGTTTTCTTTTCCATGTAATATTGATTTAAGACAAGGTATAAATCGTTCGCATTTGAAAATTAGTAACAAAACATACTTTATTTATATGAAGAACATTGTGATACTTGGAAGCTAACCGTTAACAATGTTATAGGAATAATGCCCTAATATCACTTTACATTTAAGAAAACAATAGTTGGAAATAGAGCAAGAATGTAAGAGACATTTATCCACACAAGCAACTTTCGCTTTTGTATAGTCTCATTAAAATCTTCAACTTAGTTAACCTATTGATTTACAGATTTATATGTTAAATAAAACAATCAATCTATTTTTTTTTCGGATCTGAAATATTGTAATCTTAATATAACTGAACGTGTACGAGGGGTGTTCAATATATATGCGGAAAAGTGCTGTCATATATTAGTACTCATGGAAGATTCACGTTCTCTTTGCATGTTGTAAATAAACAAAGAATTAATGTATACACAAAAATTCAACTTTCACCCCTAATGGGCACTATAAGGAACTGTAAAATTGACAACATAGGACAGTTATATGCCTTAAATGTCACCTGTATGCAAAATTTAAACAAAATTTACCGTGTGGTTTATGAGTTATGGACATTTTTCTGGACTAAAACTTTGCCATTAGAAGGGCTTTTTTAGAAATGAGGAAACTCTAAATAATCTATAATATCATCATTATGAAAAATGTTTTCCTATTACTCATTGTTAAGAAACAAATAATAACATTTAGGTAACAAATTAGACAAACAAAATAATTGTTTTTAAACAAAATGTTTTTAGAATGTATAAAAATGTAACCCTACCCAAGCCATTTTTAACACTTATTTGACCATTTCCCTGCGTAAAAAGCCTTATTTAAAATATCCCTAAAATTTTCCACAATGAGGGGCTGTTTTCAAAGTTTGCCTAAGTTTTCTTAAATGTATATTGGTTGGTGTTGCAAAATATAAAATACTTTTATCGTGTATTTTTTATTTTATTAAACTTTGAAAATATGTGGTATCATATTTTCTATTAAATTTGGCATTATTTACTAATAGTAAATAAATGCCTACAAAAATCATATAATTAAAATGAAACACTTTTTTCTTCCATTATGAATCGGAGAGATTAATAAAAAATGTTAAAAAGAAAAAAAAAGCAAGAAAAAAAAAGTTGCCCCTTCTGGGGTTTGAACCCGCGCTCCTCAGTTTCGTGATTCAAGCAAATTTGAATACTCTTCAAAGTGGAGATAGTGCATTATGGGTGTATTACCTTAATTAGAAAACTACATGTATTTCTAAAAGTTATTCCAGATACACCCAGTCAACGCCGTAACGACGCCATGTTCAATGCATATGCTAGTGTTACCCAGAACACCCACCAAGTCCTACTCTAAATAAAGTTTCTGTGAAAGGAACGCACTCATTACAACGGTAGACTCATGACACGAAACTGTTAAAGTAGGAATCGCAATTTATCTCCGAAATTGTAACTTAACCGCGTAAGACAGCTCGTCCACGTCATTGAGGTGTTCTCCTCGCAGAACGTTCTTCAGTGTCGGGAACAGAAAAAATCGCACGATGCAAGGTCGTGACTGTAGGCCGGATGTTCGAGTACTTCGAAGACGAGTTTCCGGATTGTGACCCGTCTTTTAGCCGCACGATGACAGGGTGAGTTGTCGTGATGGAATATCGTCGGCGATTTTCATTCCCCGCTTCTTTCTCAGTGCCCTCATAAAAAAAGAGTCTCAGAACCTGAAAGCATAAAGGAATGCAATCATAAGTAAATTGCTGTTATGATTGATTTTAATAACTAACAAAAATATTAATAATTATTAGGTAATGTATTGCCTTTGGAATGAATATTGAATCTGATCTCATAAATTTATCTATATTAGAATAATACTTCGCTGTCACCGTCTGACCCGGGGGTAACCTATGGCCCAGTACCACGCCGTCGACGTTAGAAAAAGACGACGAACGTCATTTTCTTTGTAAATGGGCCGACTTTACATCTTTATGTTGAAGGCAATCATGTGGTTTTCCACAAAAAAACTGTGATTTCGTTTCAGATTTGTATAATGTCTCTTCAACAGTCACTTTCCGTCGCAAGAAACGTTCACCTTCCCTTCGAAATCGTTTGGAAAACTAAAAACACCACAACCGTTAAAATTTGTGTTTATCCGTCAGCATTTCTCGAATTGATCAGGCACTGCGTCTCATATTTAGCACTTCATGTATAATTCGACCGATACTCCAATCCGATCGTTCGTGTATTATTCAAATTGTAATGCGTCGATCACTGTCGAGATGCTAGCTCCTTAAATTCATTTTTGTAAATTGACGTTACAATATTCGGATGTCAACTGCGCTTGTCGTCATAGATGCTTTGCTGGCCGTCTCGAAATCGTGCGTTCCACTTGTACATTGCCGATTTCTTCCTCACCTGATCACAATTTGCCTTTTTGTAACGTTAGCACCGTGTCTTCCATTTTAACGCATACACACGAACATGGAACAAATTTTATGAAACTGAATAGAACTGTTTACCACCATTAAATGTATTGCTTCATATATTATACAGTTCAAAGGTCAAGGTCACACTAAGAGCTAATTGCATATCTTTAATGCCCACATGTCCATCAAAATATTTTATGACTTGCGACAATGTTGTCCTTGTTTCCTATGTGAAAACTATTATTTTATGTATTTTTTTCTTAATAGTATTATAACATAGTGTATGTTAAGCATTTTAATATAACTACTTGCTGATTATTTCATGTCTTTCTATCTTAATTAACGTTATTTCTCTTTAATGTTATATAACAAAAGATGCAGTCCTGTATTCTCATTCCTTGTTTTGTATATATTTTTGATTTACATTATAACTAAATGTTAGAAACAATTTTGACTTTAACTTTTTAAAAACAATATCTTAAAATCAGATATATTTCGAGCAAGTCACATATACTGTCATAGTGTATTTTATGCATTGTAAATCTATAAGGAGAAGGCCTTTATTAGCTCAGCTTTCGGACCCAATCCTTTTTCAACATATCATGTTTGTATTGTGTACATTATTGTCTGTATATATATTGTGAATTTGTTCAAAATAAACTATGTTTAAACTTAACTTCTTGCTGATTATCGCAAGGGGTTATTGAGTTTTACACATATGTTTAATTGAACTGAATTGGGCATGTTGATTAAACAAGCCTTTGAATAAGGGATAATGTTCAGTTGTGTTTGCTTTTGCTATTTTTAAGACTGTGATCATAAAAATGGCTTTTTATCTCCTTGAATATTGGGGAATTGTTTGCCATTTTTGGGGAAGGGAGGGAGAATGTATAGTCAAAAGGTGGAAATGGGACCGAAAATTGCCAAAACTATGGTTAAAAGACTTAAAATCATATGACACTCTTAAAGGTGCATGCCCCCCAGATGAGCCAAAATAATTTTAAAAAATCAAACTTGGAATTTTTAGAAAAGTAAAAAGATTGAAAAGAAAGATAATAATGAACATATTATTTTGCGATTAATGGCCGATTTTGCAGTAATTTTCACCATGTTCCTACTGCATTACTAACGCAGAAAGGGCTATTTTTGCATATTTTGACCACTTCTTGGTAATTTACATGGGCTGTAAGTGCCGTTTACAATGTGCGTATTACTTTCTTTATCAGCTCCACAATATTTTACTTTTAATACATTTTCGAAATTTTCAGGAATCTGGAGGCGTGCAGCTCTGAGGTCAAAAAGCCTAAAAACATAAAATTTAACATTCTTGCTTAAATCAAGGAATGTACTGAAAATGGGAAAATTGCAAAAGAAAAGAAAGAAATATACTATAAGTGCTATTGAAATTTTTTTTTATCAGGATTTTAAGTGCAGTTTTAGTGAAAAGCGCGCAATGCTTTTCATTATTTAATCCATTTGCACAATAAAAAATATTATTCTATGAAAACGGCGGGATGGAATCGTCTGAAATTTTGCACACAAGTTACTTATGTACACCTTGATCAAATTTTTAATCCCTGTCAAAAAACCTCAGTAGAGTTTTTTTTTTAATATTTGTGAAATAATGAGATACCTATAAAATGGAAGCTTAAGTGGTGATTTTTAGTTTTAAATCAACAATTATGTCGAGTAACTATTTATTCAATTATTTTAGAGGGTCAGTACTTTTAATCAATAACATGTTTTGCTCTTTGCATTGAAACACACATATATATCTGATAGGGTGATAAAGTAAAGTAACTGTTATAACAATCAATCAAAATAAAAGGTCAGAGACTGTCTTTAGACTATTATATATTTAGAAAATTCTTTTAATTTTTTTAATCTATTCATTTTTAGCTCGACTATTCGATAAGAATAAGTAGAGCTATTGTAGTCATCCGAACGTCGGTGTCGGCGTCAGCGTAGCCACTTACATTAAAGTTTTTGTAATACCTCAAATATTTTCAAAGTCCATTGACATATGGCTTTGAAACTTTGCACACTTGTTAATCATCTAGACACCAAACTTTAGATAGGAGGGGGTAACTCTATCAAGCACTTTAACAGAATTATGTCCCTTTTTCGACTTAATATTTAGTTAAAGTTTTTGCAATACCTCAAATATTTTCAAAGTCAATTGACATATGGCTTTGATACTTTGCGCACTTGTTCACCATAATGACCCCAACCTGTAGACAGGAGAAGGTAACTGTATCAAGCATTTTGACAGAATTATGGTTCTTTTTCGACTTAGAATTTATGTTAATGTTTTTGTAATACCTCAAATATTTTCAAAGTCCATTAACATATGGCTTTAAAACTTTTACCACTTGTTCACCATCAATCCCCAACATGTAGACATGAGGAGGTAACTGTATCAAGCATTTTGACAGAATTAAGCCCCTTCTTTGAATTAGAATTTTCGTTAAAGTTTTTGTAATACCTCAAATATTTTCAAAGTCCATTGACATATGGCTTTGAAACAAGTTGAAATATTATACTCTTCTTTGAGAGCATAATAGGACTCTCTGCTAGGCCTTAAACTGTAACATGGTTTGAAAGAAAAAAAATGTCCTTTTGTTAACTAAGAAAATTTTACATTATCAAGTCTTTTTTACTATCAAGCACTAAGAATAGTCGAGCGTTGCTGTCCTAACCGACAGCTCTTGTTAATGTTTTCACTGACTTTATCAATTTCAAATGTCTAAATGTGTGTAATAATGATGCATTTTAAGACCATTTGAGCTTTTAAGTCACAGTCGTATAAAATAAATATCAACTTGGCCGTTATGAATTTAATGTAAAGAGATATAAAAGTCAAATCATAATATGGACATAACATTTCTTTCTTTCTTCAAGAAACAGGTAAAAGATGACAACGACTGACGACGAAAGGCATTGTAGAATTTGCTTAATGTTGATGAATGGAGGCACGAAAATAAGTAAAGCATTATTTGAGAAATGTATGAAAGTTCAGACACCAGAAAACCATATTCCTCATCCTTGGTCCCTAGATGACTTTCTGAGGGCGAATGAGACGAAGATTTTGGGAACTGAAACAGGGAAAGCCAAGAAAAAGATCATTTTTTCTGCGCAAGGTGTAAGTTCACAAGTCGAAGAATGGGACCTATATATGTACTGTTTCTTTCTTATTGAGATAGTTGACGTTGAATGTCGTGTGCGAATGGATATTAAACAACTTCGAAAAATAAGAAATAAAATTTGTCATCTAAATGAGCCAAAAATTGGTATAGAAAAATACAACAGAACAGTTGATAAACTCGGAGTTATTTATGAAAGACTTCTCAAGGAAATTTGTGACGAAGAGCTTACAATTGAAGTGAATAGAATTATTAAGGCATCAAAAGAAGATCCTCTTTCTACCAAGGAAATAATATTTACTTTGCATAAATTTTACAAGACAGATTTAGAAACTAGAGAAATATTGACACAACAAAACGCAGAAACTAGAGAAATATTGACACAACAAAACGCAGGTAAAATACATATGCTTTTATTCATAAACTGTAGCAATGTTTTCTGAGATTATGATACTAATAATGTGTTTATATATTTCCACTTCAGCTATATTTCTTAAACTATGTTTACATATACAATGTACCTTAAGGTTGAAACTGTATAAGACTAAAATAATGATTTTCTTTGTTTAAATGACAAACGTTTGTTTTTATCATTCCAAAAATACAATTTCAGAACTTTCCTGCAATGTCAAAACATTGATGAAAAAAATGGATGATATTGAGAAGAAACAAAATTTGATGTTAAGTCGCGGGTTAGTTGATTGTGAATTCGAGAACTGTACAGGTAAAGTATAAAAATTAGGTGATATATGATATTTGGAAGCCTGTATTATTATCATTAATACCGGGATATTATTATTATTATTATTGTTTTTATTTTTATTAATTGTATTATTATTATCAGTCATTCGTTTTTTATCTTTCATGAATAGTTATTTAGAATATCTGATTGCACTAGAACAAATTGAATAAGCGACATTTGAGGTATAGAAATTTAGTAAAGCAAACAAGTTTTCCGACACGTTTTTCGTAAAAAACATTTTTATATCTCCTTGGTCAAGTGAATAATACAAATAAATCTGAATAATTCATGCTTTTGCGACCCACTTTTCAATTTTCTTCTATACATAAAATGATCAACTGTTTTTTCTCAATTGTTTCAAGATAAAATTTAATTTAGTACATTTGTGTCATAATCAATCTTTTCAACAATATTCATGTAGGCATATTGTTGTATTTTAGAGACCTGTGTGGAGTTGCGAATAAAGAATTGTCCTAGTTGTACGGAAAGATTTATTTCAAATGCCCTTGTTAGCATGTACAAAAAGGAAACTGGTCAGCCGTCAAACGAACAATTATATTTATCTGAAGAAACACGTACTGAAATGATGGCTGCTGTTAAAGACACAGTTGCTTCCTTTGCGTCAAAGAAACGGGCTATAATCGATGTTGAGCAAAACTGTGTCATTTTACTACTAAACTGTTCCACTGTTAATTCATTGCTGTCATTGTTTTATGACTGCATAAACGGGGATCTCAATAAAGAATTTCAAAAATTAGAGTCCGCAGTAAGACAGATAAAAGGACTAGAGGAAGTTTCCCTTGAAGCTGTTTTATACATGGACGAGTTCTATAGGACAATGCACAGAACAGGTATAGTAGTATATAAAAATGACTTGAGGCAAAAATTACAAGACGTTGGATAAGCATCGTCTAGTAAGGATTCCTATTTCCCGAATGTCTTTGATATGTAGGAATTATGATATTTTAATGGTTATACTTTCGAATTCATAGATATATTTCTAGCCAGCGTTTTACAGTTTTGCAAATCTTTAATGCAGACTATAAAATCCCTTAAAAGGACCAAAATAACTTTTGTTTGTTTCACAGTGCTGTAACTGACTTATTATTAAAATATTAGAATATTTTAATTTAAAATAGTACAGAAAAAGTAACGATCATTTCCCATATGTGATAAATATGTCATAAATTTATTACCTGATTAAAATTTTGCATTTAATCAGCGTTTCTAAAAATATCAGGGATTTGAAAATGGTTTCTTTTTCGTTTAAACAGTTTGTTGACAATAACGAATAAAAGTTATGAGTATTTGCGAATTCTTTTCTTCTTTGTGGAAGCTTAATTGTACCTTTAACTACAAAGCTGACATTTAAATGATTAAAATCTATGCAATTTTGTCATGGATTCTAACAACTTTCTGTCCGCAGTGATTAGTTATAAAAAGTTATATAAAGTTATATAAATTATGTATTTCATCGAACCCTTAACGTCACAAATAGTTTAAATATTTAGCATTTAAATGGCCTATTATATAAATACGGATATAAATTGCTAATTTCAAAGATGACTACACGCGTTGTGACCATGGCCTTGGACAGGCTTCAAGAAATTCTAAATTTTTATTAAATAAAGAGCTTCATTCCTCCTTTGATCTCTAAACATTTTATAACCTAGAATTTTGTATTTGGAATAACCCTTAACATAGAATTGCCTCAAACTGCAGTGACTGATCAATGTTTTGTTTTAATTTACCCTCACATTTGAATCTTGGGTACAGTTTATACATGCACATTTTATAAAACTTTAACTATTTATGTTGCTGAGAATCACAGTGCTGTCTACAGTTTAGTTGATAGAATAAAAAATTTTGCTTTTAATTTGTCTTAATTAGCTTCCAAATGACCTACTACTGTATTTTTTAACTATTAAGGAATACTCACAATTGTCTGTATGTTGAACTTTGAAATGACTTGTAAAAAGATCTATATACTTTTATGTGTTATTATAAAAAAGTAAACTTGTCCAAAACTGTGCGATTATTGTTCTGAAATATCAATGTTATCAAATTTCATAAATATGTTTTAAAGATTGATGTATTGTTTTATCTTTGTTTTTGTTATGTGAGTTCTTGATATTTTTAAAATGTTTGTAAATTTAAACGTACTAATAGAAGAAAACGCATTAATCCTTTTACACGGTATTTTTATAATAGCTTCAGCTCTTGATGAGTCTGTTACAAGGGCATATGGTAAACATCTGCAAAATCGTGGTCAAGGACAGACAGAGAATACTTACGGTATAACTGACGTTTGTTTAGTGGAAAGGCTGCTACCTGATTCTGACGACAAAATGCAATCGCAACACGCTGTTCGTTTAACAATAAAAACAGATGCTGATAGGAAAACGCAACTAAGGGACTCGATAAAATCTGGTTCCTTTGACAGCAGTTTTTGTCGTCTGAAAGAAGAAATTTGTAAACATTTCAACTTTACGGATTTTTTAATAGAAGCAAAACTTGTGGAGGAAGAATGTGGTTTATTTGAAGGTAAAATGTCATGGCATTTTAAAGTTTCATGAAAGTGATTTTTTTTAATTTTAGATACTGTCAAATGGTTTCAAATTAAATCTTTATAATCCATTAAGTAAGATAATTTTATTATCTATGTCATTTCATTAATCTAAGCTATCAGTTATTTAGAGACTTCTCACCAAAAAGGAGAAAAAAGCCAACCGAAAAATTAAAGTGATGACTAAAGTTCTTCAAATATTTTCTTGAAGATGATTATATCGTTGAAGACGATCAAAGGATTGAAGATGATCATAGAGTTGAAAAAATTAACAGTGATGAACTCGATCGAATTCTTGACGAAGTCAATACTGTTGAAGACAAACACATCGTCGGAGACTGTAATATCTTTGAAGACGACCATATTGTTGGAGATGATATTTCAGCTAAAGACGATTTATCTGATAACTGTAATGAAAGTAAAGATGAAGACCTTTCATCCAATAAGAGTGAAGTAAATATACGTAATTTGTAATTTGCACAATTTTTTCTTCCATTATTTCATTTACATTTTTACCCATTAAATGTTGTCTCAAAATAAAAAATAACCCGATTAGAAGAAAAATTCTTAAGGATACTATTTCCTAAAACAAAACATCTATAACAAATTACGCACAAATACATTCTTAATTGTTTAAGTGTGTTGAAAATATTTGATAAGATTTGAGTTTATTGTACATATCAAATATGGAATAACTTAATTTTAAGGTGCATTCGTCTCCTTACCTAAGTGATTCAAAATGTAAACAATTTGACGAAACTGGAGTGTCAAATCAAAATTGTTCTTTAAAGAAAGACCCAACTAGTGAAGCTGTTACCCAGCTTGAATATACCACGACAACGGACCAACAAGCAGAGAACAAGATTGAGGAGAATCTATGTGAAATTGGAGAAAATATATTAAAGTACAAACAACTCTCAGAGGTGAATCTGGTATCAAGCTGCATAACCTATAAGCTTAAAATTACTAGCGTGTTCTACTTTTCTTTCATTTATTGTTTCAGTGTCGATTAATACAACAAATTAGGTTATCATCCTGAACGAGAACATAGATATATCAAACATTAAAAAGAGTTTTTAACTATATAAGCACATTTTCCTTAATATACTTTATATATACGAGTTACTTGTGATGTTAAAACACACAGACACACGCACAAGTACACACTCACGCATACACACGCACGCACACACACACACGCGCACGCACACGCACGCACGCGCGCACACGCACACACACACACACACAGGTGAATCGCTGTATGACACCGCATCGCAGATGCAACGGTGACAAAAAAAAAGAAATGAATCAAAGCTTTTGATACAATCGTTTAATCAGCAACCAACTTTTACAAAATATTCTACGTACAGAGTAAAATGAAAACGAGTCCTAACAGACTTTTTCTGCAAATTAAAATACCTCAAACTACAGGAAAAATATAAGTATAACAAATATGACAAAGTGATTACAGTATAGCCCATTCTTCACTCTGTGGTAGGGATATGATTATGTTATGTCTCAATACATTTTTGACAAGTTTAAAGTATAAAAGTAAATGTAATGACGTCTTATAAAATGCATAAGCTTTACACTATTGTATACTACTGTAAAGGGAAGTAATTCAACTTTTATTGGAACAGGAGGAGGAAGTGAGTCATTCCCCTTTGTATCTCCATTCACAACCAAAAGTAAAAGTAGACAGCGAAATTTTCACCCATCCAGTCAGGTAATTAGAAACATGTTTTCTTATTTATTTTCTTGACATATCATTGAAGAGTCAGTACAAATTCATTTAATACACACAATTTAAAATTTATAGTAACATGAGTAAGAAAGTTAAAGTGAAGTGTTTAACTATATCGCCGTAACTGCTCTTATTTTGATTCAATATGCTGCTACTAGTTATAAAAACACTGAAGTATTTATCAAATTCATTACAACAAATAAACCAAATCCTTTTAACAATTCTGTAACAGTGAAATGGTAACTACTTTCAATAATTCAAAAGACAAAATGTAATTCACTTTTAAAAACATATTGAAAAGAAAGTATAATTTTTCATATTCATGAATTTTGTTTAAAACCAAAAAATGAAAATAGAATAACAACATTTTCAATATTTTTTCTATATAAAAGGAACTCCGGTCTGGTTATTTAAGAGTTAACATGCTCATAAATATTAAAAACATTTATGCAAAGATGATTTTTACAAGGCGTGTGTTTTTTTAGAGTTACTAAATATATCATTTGGCTTCTGAATTGTTGACTGTTGTATGATCTTTTTGTTGTATATATATATATATTAACATTGTATTTAATGTCTTCGAAATAAGCTGAAAATACTGTAAATGGTCAAAAGCACACTAGTTGCTGATTTCTAATAAACTGAACTGAAACGAACAAAATACTAGTATGTATTTTACATATTGATTTCACACTTTCTAAACTTAGTTACGCCACGTCAAGACGGATCTTCTGTTCTATCCTGCTCTATGACATGAAGAACAAAAAGTATAAGCCGAATAATTTTGCAAAAGAAACTGTGATGCCTACTTATAAAAGTTACCCTATCCTTACTTTACAGAATGTCCCAATCAACTGACGACAGAATACGAATATCAATTAGGTTATCAGAGGCTTTAGATGATATTGGTGTCAATGAAAGAATGATAATGAATGCAAGACGAAAATTAATGCTGATGGAGACTATGAATAATATCACATGGAAGTCACTTGGATACAATAGAGTTTCTTATTATATAGGGAGTCGATGTGAAGGAACAACCACTTTAGGACTTATGTCAGACATTGACCAGCTATTGTGTATAGGTTATTACAATGTAATACAGTACGTGTCAGAGTGGGAACATGGCAAATTAAACTATGCAATGATACAGGATGAGAACACTACCCCTGGCTATTGTTTTCTAATGCTAATCCAACACGATAAACCTCTCCCTGCCTCTGTCATTCAAAATAAACACCATATTATTGATACGAAAGGAAGAATATTACTTAGGAACTCAATGATTGGTGATATTATTCAATATGAAACACGAAATCAACCAGAAATCGCTATAAAGAACCAACACAAGCAACAACGACACATTTCTACAGACATCATTGCAGCGCTTCCTTGTAAATCATGGCCAAAGTCAGCAGCATCAGGATGGTTAGAGAGCCAAGGTATTGGAAAATGGCCAACACAAATGATTAGAAGTAAGGCAGCTAGTTTAGGGTGTTTGGTTGTTCCAACTGGAAGTAAGGTCAGTCTATACCCTGAATTGGAGTGGAGAATATCTACACCGCTGGCAGAAAGGTGTGTGATGTTTGATTTAAATATAACACAAATAAGGTGCTATGTTTTAATGAAGATGGTTCTTAAAACTTTTTTAAATCCTAAAGGGGAAATAAATATCTCCAGTTTCATTTGTAAAACAGTTTTATTACGTTGTATACAAAACAAAGA